TTGCGTTCCTTGCCATTCGTTTCAATGTGCCACCAATCGCGTCAAATGGTCCCTTGCCATGCGAAGTTGCAAAAAAGTGCCATTCAACATCAAAATTATACTTCGTTTTAAATTTACAAAGACTTGCAAAATTTTTGCAATTTTTATATTGGGATGCAGCTCCATCAGACATAAACATCGCTTTTTTTACTTGAATTTTTGTTTGCAAAAAGGTCAGTAATTTTGAAATAAATACTTGCACCGCAATTGTATCGTGTTTTAAAACTTCAGAGATTACGATCAAACTTAAATTTTTAATTATACCTGATTCTGAATAATAAATGCAAAAAGGATGAATAGTAGCTTGTTGATTATTCCAGTAACTACTTGGGGCAGCATCTTGAAGAACAAATGAATAATTTTCGGAAAAATCACAAATTATGACAACTTCTCCATTTTTAAGAGTATTTTTTGTATTTCTCAAGAAACTAGACTGCTGAGTTTTAATATAATCATAGGATACCAGTTTATCCAACTTTTCGCAAAAATAAGGAACAAATCCATCTACTGGTTTTACAAGTTTCTCTAAACTACATCAATCAGTTGAAACCTATTGTTCAAAACATATTTCAGACATACCCTGTTCCTCGAATTTTTCTGAAAAACTTCTTTCAAAATCTGAGAGACCTGGACAACGTTCGCATTCGCGGAGATAACAATGTTTAGTTCTGGATGATGAGCTGCATAATATTTCTTCAAAATAATGGTTGAAATCTTTTTCGAATGAATATTTTCGAAGACAATGAAGCATTTAATTAATATTTTCATGGATGGTACAAACACAAATATTGTGAGAACCTGAACTACCAAGTAATTTGCAATGCTTTGGTTTTAGTGCTGCAAATGAACTAAATCCAATGCTATTTTTACTAACTTCTTGAAATGTAATAAAAGCTTCTCGCAATGTACAAACTAAAAGTCGCTTTTGAATATGAATCTTCTTACCTTCCTTCTTCACTGAAACGTAATCGTTTAGTCCTGGCGTGGCTCTGCTTATCTGGTCGCTTTCGAAGAACTGCAATACCTCGTTTTTAATTTCGGGATCCAAACCGTGTCCTAACCTTTTGTTGGTGGTGGCCAATACTCCTTTCCCGTTTGCCAAGCATCGAGCTTGCAATACAATGTATTTATTTGTTTCAAACTCGTCCATTACCGCTTGAAAACCGAAGATGCGTTTCTTAATGCCATTGGTAATGTCCATATACTTTCTCCGGGGATAGTTAACATTCTGGAATTTTTTTGTCGATATTGGCGATACGTTGATACCAGCTATGCCCTTGTTGAATAGCTCAATATTATGCGTCCTGGAAAATTGTTGCTCTCCACTATCCTGAGATGATGCTGTTGTTATTGACGTAGTTGATGGTATTTCTTCGAGGCCATGTCGAGATGTAGATGGCTGCGGCTCCGCGATGTCCATGACTGACCATGAGTGTCCATGCACTTCTAGTTCCAGATTTTCAGCACATGGTTCGATTCTATTTAAATTCAAGCGACACGTATCACAGATTGATAGAGATGTATCCAAATTAAATTTCCACTCTAGGAACTTATGTTTTTCAATCAAATTTTCGGATATTTTACGAAGCTTTGATGAACACCGTTTATTAGGAAACGGCTTGCAACACTCGACCTTCTTGAATTTCATATTCAAATTATACTTGTTCACTCAAAAAGATTTTTTTAGTGATGTCTGTTTTCAAAAGGATGATCATGCTTATATACAAACGTAGGTACCATTTAGATATACAGGTATAAATATTGTTTTGGTATTGAAGCTACTCTAACAGAGAAGCTCTTTTGGAATGCCATGGAAGACATTATAATGTACCTAAAATAATAAGATGGATAGGTACATCAATATTACCAACTTAAATAGGATGAAACTACGCTTGATAATGAAAATAAGTGCAACTTAACTTGTGTTGGTTTATATATTTAAAATAATAGTGTTTTCATTTCCCCTGTAAATTCTAAACGGGTTGTCTGATCGTTCAATCGTCAAAAGACAAATTGAAGGTAAATATATGTGTATCTTGCTAAACTTATCAATGCTGATGGAGAATCACGATTAACTTATGGAAATGGCTTATTTTCTACAAAAAAAAAAATGATTTCGATGAAAGTAAATTTGAAATATCTCGAAAACGGTTATATTTAGGAAGTTTATCGATATGAACACTATCTTTTGAAATGATTTTTATAATCATATACTAACATCAAACTGAACATTTTGCCGTAAATAATGAAATTTTCAAAAATGCCTCAAAAGTTGCTCTTAGAAAAACTTTTTTATTAAAAGTTTGTCGATCCTAGAGTTGTTTTCAAAACTTCGGCTTTCTATTCAAATTTTTATATAAAAAATATAAAAAAAATCAAAAATATGTTTTTTTTTGTTATTTGAATTTTGAGGTTTATTTTTGATATTTTATGTAAAAAAATGAAAAAAAAAATCCGCGTATATTTTTTTTTTATAAAGCCTTATTAGTTTCCTACAATTCCTTCTTAGTAATTTTTTTCTGCAACCAACTGTATTCGACCTACATTTTTTTTAAAAGTATGTGTGCAAAAATACATAGGCCCTTTTCAAAAATTATCCTTGAGTCAAAAGGGTCTCCTCTCCTGCGGAAAATACTTGGTCTATCATACTGAAAATATGGGCAAAGTATCATCCAAATCAAAGATGGTCGAGCACGATTTCAGGTTTTTTCAGCTCATTCTGGATGGAATCCCTCTTTTGTTTTCCCAGATTGATAGATTTCCTTTCTTCTAGTGACATGACCGTGTTAAACGAGCTTAAGGGCTTAAACTATTTTGTTTGTATTACTTCTGCGTGAAGTTAACGATTTACATAGTTGAAGATGATAATTTCAAATAACAGACTAAAGTGGTCATTTTTATGCGATAGAGGAGGGGATAGAAGTATAGAGTTGATAGTTCCGTTAGAGTATGGCAGTTTAAAAATTTTATATATAGAGTAGAAAGCGAGCAAGGACAACATCCTTCCTCAAAGTTGTCCTTGCTCGCTTTCTCCTCTCCATATACAATTTTCACACTGTCGTACTCTAACGGAACTATCAACTCTATACTTTCATCTCCTCATCTATCGTATAAAAATGACCACTTAAATCTGGCCAGTAAAGAAGCCGAGAAAAGGGTCAATTTCGCGATTTTTTTGGCGAACAGAAACACTTTAAAAGAATGTGGTTTTCAGCATTTTTTTGAAAATATTTTAAATATCATTTTCCCAAATTTTGGGTTTTTGAAATGTGCAGCGATGTGGCGCTGCACACATCTAAGTGATGGCATCCTCGGTGTGAAACGGTTTGCGGGCGGAAACGATTTGCAGCCGGAGGTAGTCCTAGAACAAAATCGATAAAAGTTTCATAAACTAGAATGTTTACACTAGTGAAGTACTTGGCGATTGTAAAAATATTGATTTTTGACAAAATGGCGCACGTTTGAAGAAAGTGGTCTGATTTTCAGGCAAAAATATCAAATATAATGCCCTTCATTTTATACTGCTCGAATAATGTGATCCATCAAAACTAAAAAAAAAAACATGAATTTTTAGTATGATACACAGAAAAAAAAATGAATTTTAGCCATCGCGTAAAATCTCCCTTCGTTTAATTTTTAGCTATACTAGGCATAACCAGCGAAATCGTTTACAAACTTGCATACAATATTGCTAATTTATGCGATATTGCGCTTAAATTTACACGAAATATCGCGTAAATTTATGCCAAATCTAGCGTTAATTCTATGTGCGCTATATCTCGCAGAAATTTACATGGAGATACATCACTTTCCTTTGCCTGACCATTTTTTAAACAGTTTTTTTTTATTAAAGGAATAATACTTTCTATACCCTAAATGGGCTTTGTAAGTCACGTTCGGCACGTTGCTCCTGTCAAATGCAATATTTTTCGCAATTAACTATTGCGTGATTCTATAGAATTGGCTTATTGTATTTTTTGTAATAAACTTTGCTTTTGCATGTATGGATTCCGGCATTGTGTTCGATTAGTGATCGGTTCCGCCAGTACACAGTGGTTTATAAGCCTTAAAAGTGGCATACATTGTTTGTGCTTAAACCATAAGTTTTAGGTAAATATAGCGCAAGGGTAAATAACTAATGTTGAATCTATCTATTGCCACTTTATGTAACGATATTTGAAGGCAAGAACATGTGTTTGGGTGGCGAGTTTTTTTTCATTTATTTCAACCAACCAATTAATCTTGATGATGATTAAGACATTGGTTGTCCTTACCGTTATTTGAAACATCTCTGCTGAAGCAATACAAAAAAAAGTATCTTAGGGTGGTCCCTAGAACATTTGTTTTTCAATAGTTATTTCTTATACATTGATTTCTCGTGTTCTAGACACTTTTTGAACTATGGCGAACTTCCCAAGGGAGAAGTCGGTATTTCCCCTATACCTGCGTTTTAAATAGTCCAACAACTTCAAGATTCCGAACTTAAACATTTTGGAAATTTCGTACTTACGTGCCAATTATTTGAAAACCTTAAAATTTAGGCTCGATAGTAGCAAAAGGTGGTAAGTAGTAAGGCACATGTCATGAAAAGAATACAAGGTATGTACTATTAACTCTTTTTTGAAATTCTATCAAAGATGAAATGTGACTCCACAGCTCAATTGATATGATCAGATTTGAAGTCGTATTTTATTACCTATCATATGTCACCCAAATGGGTTGACCGGATTAATCAAACGCTTCTCCGCTCAAATAAATCAATACTTATTTTTGATGAATTTGCCGTTGATCTCTAATGATACAGCTATATGAACACTAACGGAAGCAGAATGCATACCATATTCATTTAACAATTGGCAACATTTATTGAGTTCAGTGTATATCCATCGAATAATTGTCGTTAACATTTATTTAACTTTTAACTTAAAATTAATATTGTTGGTTTTCTTTCACCCATATAGAGAGTACCCGTGTGACCACTACACATCCGTTATCAACGTCACGCTACTGATGACCGGATGTCCGCGTGTGGAAGTCCATTCGACCGCACTCCAGCTGTTGCAGATATTGGATAAGCGATTCTTTGGCAACGTTGGTCCGCTCCAGTCCGAGAACGATAGAGGTAAGTGTTTCGAACGAGGGGGGGGGGGGCGACCCTCTGTTTACCACATAAATGTATTGTGGGTGTTGAAAAAGGTTATGAATAGATTTCACAATATGCGAGTGATCGAAAATATCATCGTTCGGCGGTGATTAATGGGAGATGGTTATTAAGCTGATTTATGGAGGCAAACACATGGTCGGTGGATGATTTGTACATTTAAAAAATCATTTCAATTTGTTAGCACACTATCAATCACAGTTTTGCTGTTATTGTTCTACTTTACCCTTTTTATTCTAGAAACATGGCCGAGGGGTTTTAGGGCATTGCCATATGGCATTTTGGTTTATGTTCTAGGAGGGCTTTTTATAATGGAATGGGGTTATTGTGCCAATAGTATAACATACATTTTGGCATGTATTGAGCAGCAATACTATGACAAACGAGCTAATGACCCAATTTGACCGTTTCCGGAATGATGATGGAACTGTAGATTATGTATTTGTCATACACTCAGATAAATCTACACGTTTGATTAAAGTGTTTAAACACTTGATTTTTCAAATGCACATTCACATTTCAAGGATATATGTTATTTAATGGTAATGCACATAAGTTGGAAGTGTTATACTGCCGCTTTTCGCAAAACAGTCCCATGTGAATAGGAAATCCATAGGACATTGGACTCCTATGCAAATAGCGGTAGTATGCACCTTAATAAAATGTTTTATACTGTGAAATATTAAAAATGTCACAACATCACTTCAGGTCTATTGCGCATTGAATCTATTTGAATGTATTATGAAATCGCACTACTGTTCTAAACAAATGAATATGAAAAAAATAATTTACAACACGAGTTAAAATGCTTATTATACATCAAAACAATAATGCATCACGTATCGAGTCGAGAAAGATGTGACTTCATCCTTATTAGCTGAGTACAAAGGGGAAAATAGTGAAAAACGCGTCAGCGGGATGATGTATTTGGTGGGGTGGAGCAATATCAATATTTTTGGGTTAATTTTAATGAAATTTTGGGTGAGATGGCCTCAGCGTGTATTGTTTACACTGCGTGAGTTTTATTGAAGTTTTGAAAATGTAGTCGAAGGAACAGCGCGTACGCGAAAAAATTATGCACTCTCACTTCAACAACCCACATCTTTTGGAAAGATGTTGGGAATCCAACAATCTACTGTTTCTCGTGTCATAAAACGTTTCGGAAAACGTTTAACTGTCGATCGGAAACAAGAGAGTGCAAGAAAAGTGTTCCGTACTGCGTTGAACATCACAAGCGAATGGTTGCTGCCTTCAAACGCAAACCTAACTATTCCGTTCGAGATGTTGCGAAAAAACTGCACCTGACAAAAAAAAATGGAAATGTTACTGCGAAAGATAAGTTCGATGTTTCAGAGTCCCTCAGGAAACAGCAAGTGTCGAAGTTCCCCCAGAAATTCTTGATTTTGCGGCGATTTGTTCGTACGGAAAACGGATAAAACCTTTCGTAATAACTACAACCGTAAATGACCAAGTATGAATGGGTGCCTGAAGAAATTATTGCTTCCGTTTCTCAAATCAAACATCGTTACCACAATGTTTTGGCTGGATCCAGCCTCTTGTCACTACTCCAAGGACGTTCTTGAGTGGTACAAGACGAATGGGGTCAATTTCGTGCCGAAGGATCTCAATCCCCCAAACACACCGGAATTGCGGCCGATCGAAAGATACTGGGCTATAAGTTGTAACTACGGAGTCACTAAAATTGTCACTACGGAGCAGGAAATATTGAAGTCATGGTTGATTATGGATATATTAATGATTCTATAATCTAGACATCAATTATTGTTTTATATAAAGCACAAAATTGCAATTGAACGTTTGATAATAAAAAAAAAGTTATATTCTCAGTAAAATTCAGTTCTGCTTTCTAAGCTAGCTATATTGGGATCAATCCTAGGCTTCTATAGAAGACTGAAAGTCGTAGCATTGATGTATTGTAAAACATCGCTAATGATTAAAAATCGGCACTTTGGGTAAAATATTACTTTTGCTCGATCCAGTTTCAAAAACATATTGAATGCTTACGGCGACGTCATTTCATATGAAGTGCTTATTTTTTTCGGGATCGGCTCATGATGTAACAGGCTCGGTAGCCTTAGAGTGACCGTTTCTGCTTACTGAGAAGGCCCGTTTACATTACTCAGTTGATAGGGTCGTATCATTTGTTCACCATGCTTTAAAAGACCGTCTCATTTTCCAAAGTGAATCTGTATTTGATGCAGAGGTGTATTCAGAGTCTAGTAACAACGAATGTAGAACATTTCTTTACTTCCCCAATGACCTTAAAGACGTGGCCGATGCCGTTATTGACCATACAAAATAATGAAGAAGAAGCTGGACGAAATATCAAGAAGACGTCGGAAGACTTTTGCAGAATAAGTCACAACTTCTGGGTAAAATTGAATGTATTTTCCATGAGAAGTTAGAAGAATCTTCCGGAGTAAGTAGAGAGAACCATCTGGTGAAAGATACAACAAACTACCGAGGGATGCTTCCGGAGGAATCTGATAGTTGGAACATTTTCGGCCACCGGAGCATCATTCGACATAACGACCAGGATAACATTAACAGCAATAACAAAAACACTTCCACCTGATCGAGAGCTTCTTTCAGCAGCAAAAAATGTCTTCAACAAACCACCGGTTAATTATCAACCTACGATGTAGCTCTTTTTTTTCTTTACAGTCTATTGCCAAAATTTTAACCGTATGCGTAGTGCGTATAAAATAAATGAAATTCAAAATAAAATAAGCGGATGCACATATCATATAATAATTGGAACAGAAACTAGTTGGTCTGATTGTATCAATAGCGAAGAGGTCTTTGGTAAAAAATTATGTGTTTTTCGATGTGACCGCGATTTATCATTAACAGGTAAAAATCAGGTGGTGGTGTACTTATTGCTGTGAATGCTACACCGACATTAAGGACATTAACCCTGCATAATTATATTCAAAAATCTTCAAAATAAAAAAAAAATCTTTTCTTGCACTTGTACCACGATAGCTTAAAGAGTAATTCTTAGAATTTCTTGCGGTGTCATTGGGTTTGAAATATTTTGCAACAGTTTTTCGAGTTTAGTAGTTATAGTATAAAGCCTGAGCGAGATATATCCTGTTGCGAAGCTAATTGCAGATAGAGAAGCAGATTCAAGCTAATGTCCGATCGAAAACTTCTTGCATGCCCGGCAATCAACGATCTAAAAAAATCATGAGATGATTGGTCCAGCGATAAATTAAAAATTAATTTCTGCATTTTGTGCTAATCAGGCACAAAGAATAGTCAGGAGTCAAGACATCGTAGACATAAAGATTTGAATCCATACCTCTCACACCAAAGTCATGAGTTCAAATCTCACCCGTATATGTCACGAATGATCCAAGAGTGTTAAAGTGACTATAACAATAAAAAATTAAGATCTGAACTCCAGGCATTTTGGAAAGCGTAATAAACAAAACAAATTCTATTATGGGGCTTCACGAAGGTTTACCCAATCTATCATTAAATCGAATCATCGTATATCTTGTGCTGTAAAAATATATGATTACCTATAAACAGTTATTTTAACGTCTTTTCTGTTTAAGGCAGGGGCGATGTTTGAGTTTTTTTTTAAATAACAGGGAAAAAAACCGGGAATTGAAAAATTGGTTTTGAATGGACGATTATGGGTAGATGATAAACACACTTCGACTTATGAATTGAAGATTAAATGGAGCATCGATTAAAATCTCATAGTCCTTCCCCAAGTAGTTCAAATCGTGGTCTACAGAACCTTCATAAAACCCAAATTGTTACTTGGGTCATCAATAATGCGGCCGTGTCTCGGACGCAACCCCTCGCTTTTTAATCACGTTTTGCTATTACTATTTTTGTGTAAATTTCTTTTTTTTATGTCTACTGGTGGATAGAATGATGGTTTGATGAAGCAGAATTTTCAATCCGTTACCGTTATACACCGTTTTCATTAAATTAAATACGAGCAATCAAAGTCAAGACAAAGTCCTAATATACAAGCGGCGCCGGTGGTGTAGTGGTAAGTGTGACTACCTCTCACCTCAGCAGGCCTGAGTTCAATCCCAGTCGGCGCCGCTGAGATGTTCTGAGGCATAACATCTCTGATCACGCCTTTCTTCGTAAGGGAAGTAAAGCCGTTGGTCCCCGGTTCATGAGTTGATGGGTCGATAGGTAGGGTCCAGATGTGGGTGCTGCCTCCCTGGCGTCGGTAGCATTGGTGCTCAGCACGGAAAACAAGATCGACGGAATACAAATCAAGGATAAAAAAGTCCTAATGTACTATCGATTGAATCATACAATTTATTGACTTGATTTAGCTTTGATTACTTTCAAATTGATTTGGTTCACCGATCGATAGACAAGCTATTTGCTTTTAAAGGGTGATACGGTCAAAATTTGGTCAATATCAACTTGACGTATTTCTTTCAATTTTGCATTTAAAAAACCTGAACACCCCTCATTTTGAAGGTGTGTGTGTGTGTAGAATGTTGCTCCTATTTTGATTTTGGAATTCACTCTTCAGTTGTCAAAATGCCGTCCAAGCAAGAAGAGCAGCGTATCAAAATTTTGCTCGCGCATCGCGAAAATCCGAGCTACTCGCACGCAAAGTTGGCAAAATCGCTAAAGATGCCAAATCAACCGTTACAAATGTAATTAAAGTGTTTGGGGAACGTTTGTCGACAGCCAGGAAGTCTGGATCGGGGGGAAATCGAAAAGCGGAAGCCGCTGAGACGACAAAGAGAGTTGCCGGTAGTTTCAAGCGAAACCCTAACCTCTCTCTCCGAGATGCCGCAAATAAGCTGGGTGTATCGTCGACAACCGTGCATCGAGCCAAAAAACGAGCCGGACTATCGACTTACAAGAAGGTAGTGACTCCAAATCGCGATGATAAACAAAATACGAGGGCCAAAGCGCGATCCCGGAGGCTGTACACGACGATGCTGACGAAGTTTGACTGCGTGGTAATGGACGACGAAACCTACGTCAAAGCCGACTACAAGCAGCTTCCGGGACAGGAGTTTTATACGGCAAAAGGAAGGGGAAAGGTAGCAGATGTTTTCAAGCACATGAAACTGTCAAAGTTCGCAAAGAAATATCTGGTTTGGCAAGCCATCTGACCTGTGGCTTGAAAAGCAGCATTTTCATAGCTTCCGGGACTGTCAACCAAGAAATTTACGTGAAAGAGTGTTTGAATAAACGTCTGCTGCCTTTCCTGAAGAAACACGGTTGTTCCGTACTGTTTTGGCCGGATTTGGCATCTTGCCATTACGGTAAAAAGGCTATGGAGTGGTACGCCGCCAACAACGTGCAGGTGGTTCCCAAGGACAAGAACCCTCCCAACACGCCAGAGCTCCGCCCAATTGAGAAATACTGGGCTATTGTCAAGCGGAACCTAAAGAAGACCAAAAAAACTGCTAAGGGCGAGCAGCAGTTCAAGGCAAACTGGCTTTCTGCGGCGAAGAAGGTGGACAAGGTGGCTGTACAAAATCTGATGGCAGGGGTCAAGCGTAAGGCCCGGCAATTCGGATTTGGAAAAGCGGAAGCCTAACTGAATATTTTTCCTGAATTTTATACTAATTGAACTTGAAAAAGAAATTTAATTTGATTTTTTAAATAAACGATTTCACCGATTTACACGCGTTTTCCCTTGACCAAATTTTGACCGTATCACCCTTTATATCCACTTTCCTCCGGATATCAACAGCATCTGCTATTGTTGTTGCTCGTTGATTCTATTGATCCTAGCAGTGTCGTCAATTCGTGGGTGCCTACAAATAATAGAATTGTGCTGAGCTCTCCATGGGTTGATACTTTATCCTTCTTTACCAAAGCAATTTTATTGCTCAGTATGGCGAACGCTTCGATGTCAATAGAAGGGTATTCTAGCGAAAATTAAATTCCAGCCGGTTATTCCATTCCATTTAAAGACGGTTAAACGACGGTACTGTGGCTGTTGGCCATTGTTGAAACTTTGATAGCATTCTTTACTTTACGGTTAAAATAAATAGATTTTTTAATTCTCGATACTTGGTATTTCCACACCGGTTTCATTAGAATGGCTTCACTGCTCTTTGTGTTAATGGGACAGGCGTTAGGTTCTATGCCTCTCACGCTGAAGGTCATGAAATTAATTCTCATCACCGGCCAAGTCACACTTAACCTTCAATATGTTGAAGTTATTTTAGGGTCCTCTGATAGCCTAATAAGTTACCAAGCTGAAGGCTGTGCGTTCAATTCCCGGTCCGATCTAGAAAAAAAAAATCGGATTGTAAATTTCCTCGGCTTCTCTGTGCATAGAAAATCATGATGCTTTCCACACGATATACAAATTCATGCATTGATTGGGATAAAAGCTGTCAATTAACCGTTTCGTATCTTATAACTGTATTTCTACGATTAGATATTTATTATATAAAAGCACTTTCCGATTATCGGGACTTTCCGGTAAGAGAAACGCTAGTTGGAGACAAGTAACCTTCCATAAAATAGCTACAAACAACCCTAGCTCGTCTTAAGGAAGCAACGAAAGCATAATTCATATTTTAGCAGTAGGTTATTTGGTTTTTCTGTTCAGTACACAATGTGCATTGTTCTAGGTTGGTTTCCGTTTGAATGAAACATAATTCTTTTCACTTCCCCACAGTGTGCTTTATTTCCATTTTGATATTTTTAACGATTAACGTGGTGATAGCCATTTATCGTCATCGCCGTTATCGAAAGGGTTGTTTGATAAGCCTGATCTAAATTTATTCGGGGTTGGAGGGTTGGTTGCTGCCGCATAAACACGAGTACTGATCGGAACGAAAAAAGCACTCCTTGGCCGGTTCCTGGGTTTTGGTGTAGGTTTTTTCTCCCACGAAATTACTGTAGGAGTAATTACATACCAAATAGTACTTATGACAATTTTGGTTCTTACGTTTCCCTTGTTCCTCGTACACGATGAAACTGCATCCGATGCGCCGGACGATGTCATTAACCATTACCGTAAAATGGCCAATAGGACCCCTGAGAATTATAGGAATTTGGGATTATTGATGAGGATTATTAATTAATGAGAACATGCGAAGCATACACACTTAATTCAGGTCACAGAAGTCGGTAGAGATTTACCGGGTTTTTGAACAGCAGTACAAGTCGGTAAAATTTTTAAATGATCGTTGCACGTGGGAAATCAAATTTATTTTATATAAACAAATAGGGTAAACTGAACAGTCTGAAGTTCAGAATAAATTAGCTAATTATTGGATTGTTCACTGATTTTTAAACTTTTACCGAACAGTTCTGTGGTTCAAAATTTACCTAACGGCAGAGGCCTGGAATAGTGTGTACCGTGCCCCGCTGAATAATTCACATTTTATTTAATTTTCTAAATGTATCGAAAAATTATATCGACAATCTTAAAAATCATTTTTTTCTCAGATTCAACATGATTTACTAATTTCTCAAAGAATGTTCTCGTACTTCAACCAATTGAACGGAACGTTGACAGTTTTCTAAATAATAGTTCAGTAGTTAAACTAGTAGTTCAGGGTAAAAAACCTTCAGCCATTCCATAACAAAACGATATAGTGGTTCTCAGAATTTCGTAAAAATTGGTAGTTTTGTGTTTTTTTTTTCTATTTTGTCAATAGGGTGACAATTTTCATGTTAGAGTGGTCCAATAAATTTCAATATAGGGGAAATGCAGGTAATGTCGCCCTAAGTGTCCCTAATTTGGGCCCATACATACATTCAGTAATCGACTAAATTTTCAATAGCAACCAAAAATATCCATTAGTAACGTCCCAATAACGCGTTCATCTAGATAAAATTGATAAATAGCAGATTTTTAGCTATGGGCCCAATCTTAGATCCATAGGCCAACATTAGAGACATTTCCCCTAATATTCAAAGAATTATTCAATATTTATATTTTTTTTATAAAAAGCTCATGAAATATTTAAACTTTTGAATTATTGAAAACCATGGAATCTTGCAATTTGACAAATATCGTATAACATCAACTTTTCATCAAACGTGTTTGTATGATTCCTTATGTTTTTTTTTACACATGAAACAACATTTGAAACATTTCAAATCGTTTTCTGTGCAAAAATTACACATAGCGTATTTTCAAAAATTTGACCATAAGTTGTTGTTCTTCGATTTATCTCAATTGTCAAGTATATCCGGAGTCTAGTATCCGGATAGACTCCGAACAGTTTATGTTTAGATTAGGGATGTTTGATATCAAATATGTACCCATCAATATGGGTACTTGTGGCATCTGGATGACGTCTAGAGGCCGGAAATTGATATCCGACGTTATTTTTAAATCCAAGATGGTAGCTTCCGATTTAAGAAAAAACGGAAAATACTGTCAAATACCCATCAATAGGGTATTTTTGCAGGGTGTCCATCCAACCGGGCGAACCGGGAAATCCGGGAATTCGGATTTGCCGGGAAAATGCGGGAAAACCCAATCGCACCGGGAAAGATAATGTATACTCATCCTAAGTAACTATTTTGGTTTTATCATATACTTGTAGGCCATCATTTGGTCTTCGAGAATCATTTAAACCCTTATAAAACTTGCAATTTTACATGGAATCAATATTTTTTTTTAAATATGTATAATTATATTCATTTGTTTACACTTCTGTTTACAATTTTCATATTATGCTTTAACTGTGGTAAAGTATCAAAATTCCTCAAAATTACAAAACAAATCTATTCTTTTCTTTCGTTTGTTGGAGCATGTGGAGCTACCAAGATAGCTTACAGAGTATTTTTTTAGAATTCCTTTTGGTTTTCATTTGATGAACATTTTTTGAATTATTTTGCTACAATTTTCCGAGTAAAGTAGTGTTAATATAAAGCCTAACACGAAGCTACTTGAAGATAGAGAAGCAAATTCATGCCAATTAAAAAATGTCCGATCTGAAACTCCTTGTATACCCTCATGCTTGGCCTGCAAATGTTCGACACCGTACACAATCAACGATCTTAAAAAAAATCATGAGATGATTGGTCCAGGGATAAATTAAAAATAATTTCTGCATTTTGTGCTAATCATAATCACACAAGATTAGTCAGGATATCGTAGAATACCTTGATTATTATGTATAGTATAATACATAATAATATAATATATAATAATATAACGTATAATAATATAATATATAATAATATAATATATATAAAAATATAATATATAAAAATATAATACACTGAAGTCTTTTTTTACACGGTTTTCCACGATTTACACGGTACGTTTTTAACGATTTCTCGACAACGATACAACCTATCGACTTGATTCCAATCACGTTATCCGTTTCAAGCTATTTGTAATCGAATGGCATACTTAAAAAAAAAAATCACAGTTTTTGGTGTAAATACAGAAATTTTTAAAATATGTCTATATGGACCATATCATGCTTTAATTACAAATGGCATCAAAATCCGATTTTTTAAAAACTTTTAAGCATGCGAAAAATCAAAATCTCGTTCGTTTTTTTTTTACACGGTTTTTTTTACACGGACCGTATCCCCCGTGTAAAAAAAGACCTGAGTGTATATATAAAAATATAATACATAATAATATAATATATAATAATATAATAGGGGAAATGACGGCTTCGGCATGACAGACTATTTTCGGCAACACAAATTGAAACACTATTTTCACTGGATTTTCTTACGAAAACACTTCGCTGAATGCATGCAAACGATTATTTATGCTTTCAGCTTCAATTTGACTATATTTTTACCACTGAGAAAAAGCAATCTAGCAAGGTTTTCTTGAAATGCAACACACGCACTACAAATTGTAGCTGATTTCGAGTTGCCGATAATAGAACAGCAGATTTACATGCAGTTCAAATGGAACGGTTGCCGAAGAAAAACTGGTTGCCGACAATACTCGCTCTCACTAGAGAAGATTGGAGCTTTGTAAAAGCGTTTCAAAACAGTTTTTGACAATTCTTTCGACTGAAATTGTTAGAGCAGTTGGCAGCAAAAGATTGTAAACAAACCAATACTGCATATGTGTGCGTTCCTTAGAGAAAAAGGCTATAGAAAGAAGGTCGCTGCTTAGGTTGCCGAGAATACGTAAATTCCCCTATATAATAATATAATATATAAATTAATAAAAAAGAATAAAGAACTTCAGGAATTTTGGAAAACCTAATATTTCAAACCACACACACACTTAATTCAGATCACCGAAGTCGGTAGGAATTTACCGGGTTTTTGAACAGCAGAACAACTCGGTAAAATTCAAATGACCGTTACACGTGGGATATCAAGAAAATTTATAAATTTTATTTTTCATCAATAAATGGGGTAAACTGAACAACTTCTGTACAAGTTCAGGATAATTTTTTTAATAATTGGATTTTTCACTGATTTTTAAACTTTTACCGAACAGTTCTGTAGTTCAAAATTTACCGAACGACGGAGGCCTGGATTAGTGTGCATGCAACATTTTCGATTTCAATGTGGTCTTTTAATTCATTTCTAAACCTATAAGGCCTCTTCAAAAACATGATAAAACCAAAATTGTTACTTGGGAAATTATATTATGGGGCTTCCCGAAGGTTTACCCATTCTATCATTAAGTCGAATCATCGTATTGATAAGCTCAAATTATATTTCGAACGGAGATTCAAAATGCTCAAAAGTGGAAATCGAACAAGATATGTATTAACCTGTAAAATATCTCCAATACATTTTAAATATTTTGGTAACACATCTTTGTATATCACAAATTTTTTTTAGGCATATAGATCATTTGAGAATTATGCGAATTCATGCTTCCATGAGCTTTTGGAGATCTAGATCAACAACATATTAATGGAACATACCGAGTTCTTAAGGTGATACGATTCAGCGTCCACAAATCATAGACACTTTCACTGCCACTTCTAGTTTTCTAGGGAGTTAATCTCGGGCAGTATCGCGATTTGTGTCTCCCGCTTTTCATTAGTCAGCCAAAGATCCCTTCAGATCGATCGTGTTTGTCATAGTGGTCTTTGGTTTTTTGTTCATCATTCCGTAAAAATAAATCTGGGACTTTGAACAGTTATCTGAAGTCTATGACTTGGAAAATTGGTAACTACACTATTATTATTATTATTTAACTTTATTAATGAGGCTTTCAGCCTTGGGCTGGTTCGCCTCCAAAACCGGAGGGTAACTACACTACACACACAATGCTGATTTCTGTTTGTCAAACTTTGTAAACATATCAAACAGAAATTAATAAATAGTGTATTACTGAATTATTAGTGGGGATGGGTGGCATTCACTAGCCCGAGAATACCCTCCAGATGCTAGCCTCTTCACCAACCATACATCAGTACACACTTATCCAGTCAGTAATTTTTACTGAGTTTTTGAATTGCGAAACTCTTCGGTAAAATTTGAAAAATCTGTGAAAAATTTAAAGTTGAGAAAATGTGTTACGATAATTTACAGACTTACTTCTGTTAACCCCGTGTAATGATGACAAATAAAATTTCGATTTTATCCAATCTTTACGAATAACAGTCATTTGAATTTTAACCGAGTTTTTAAGTAATCCAAAAATCCAGTAAAAAAATACTGACTCCTGTAAAAAAATCTAAGTGTGTATACAGAAGCAAAGGAGCTGCACACTCCTCCATCGAAACAGCACCGCAGCTGAGATGCGAGTGCTATGAAATAAAAGGGACATCGACTTATTACCACTACCCAGTGATGCCACATTTTGTCGAAGTTCAATCTGTATTTTCATCGCAAAAAATCTTTTTAATCTGTATCTGGCTGACAAAAATCTGTATAGTTTCTATATTATGGTCTCAATGCGAATTTACGTAAATCTCCATTGAGCAAACTCATAGTTCAGAAGGAGTTTGTTCAATGTTTAGAATCATGAAAAATTACTAAAGTTTGCTCTCTAAAGAATTTGTCTATTTTAAAAATCTTGAAATCCTACAATCTTGATTTTTGGTCTGTTTTGTATCTCTTCTACTGTCTAAAAATAC